AGGCGCATGAGCAAAGCAATGCTTGAGTACATCTACAAGTGAAGGTATACATTGAATACAGCAGCAGAACATAGTTAAAACCACGATAATAATAATAACATACATGATTAGTGACCGAAGCCAGGAAAAATTAGGCAACCAAGACCAGAGCCAGACCCACCATGACATGCCAGGGGTAGAGTACGTTTTGTGAACCTGGCGGGCAATCTCATGCAGCTTAGCTATGTCTGTCTCTATGACACCAGAACGATTAATAAAATGACAGCAGGTAGTGTTCAACCAAAAACAGAGGCCACCCTCCTTGCTAAGGAGATAATCTAAGGCTAATTTATGTTGGGCAAGCTGTCCCGCGAGGGACTCAACCTCGACCTGGAGGGTCTTCAAGCCCACTGTGGTAACATTGGCCAGGGCCTCTAAATTATGGGAAAGAATACGGAGCTGATTAACATTGCGATCCACCCCATAAAGGGGAAAAGCAAGAGCTACGAGGTGTTCCCCTGTTGTCAAATAAGTATCATCAGGGTCATATCCCAACTTTTTGTCATTGGCGCGTTCAGAACGAGACCAACTGAATTGAGGGTCCCATGCAGCAGGGGGCTGGTCCTTAGGATGAAACGCCAGACCTGCAGGTGCCACCGTAGCAATAGTGCAGGTGCCATTCCATACCGCCGGTAGAACCGAGCCAGCCCATTCACCGCACGCCCAAAGATACCCATCAGGCAGGCCATGGATGTAAGTCCCACCGTGCATAAAAGCCTGCTCCGTGAGAGCGACGAAGATTGACTGACCGCTCATGGACCCATTCAAAGTGGCTAGGCATTCGCGCTGTCGAGCAATGGAAAGGCCAAGCGAGGCATTATTAATGGAGGTATTACAGGGGTTTCCGCTAACACAGTCATCACAAAGATCAAGAGTGAATTTACAAAAAGGATAATCCCCCACTGCGGCACGGGGTATCGGCACCCGGACTTGTTTGTTACTAGTGTCCGTATAGGCAAAGTACCCTGAAGGAGTAGAATCGTGCCAGCGAAAGCAAAGACTCGCAGTAGGCCAGGAGGATTTTCTGGTAAGGATGAACTGAGAGGCATCGAGAAATCGACACCGGCTCCGTTCAGTACAGGGAGACTTGCGCACTCTAAAGGCAGCGTAGCCCGTAATGTTCAGCGTGGCAGTGGGCACCACCGGCCATCCCTGAAGGGCGGAAGATGGGCCATGGGAACAAACCCAACATTCGGATTGATTAAAAGACAATGAGATTTCATGGACCAGTTGGTGAAAAACGTTGTTATGCCATCCCGCCCAGGCAATGGCGACAAAAAGAAGAATCACAGACACCCGGACGAAGACCTCCATGGGCGGACGCATCGCTCAGGAATCCAAAGAGGGCCGTTATCCAAGGCTACCGCTGCGTATCCATGACCCCAAGTTATTAACGACACAGGTCCCTTCCACTCAGGATCAGGCAATTTTCGATAGCTCACAAGCGGTCGTGGAAGCTGCTCTTCAGTCCTGAAATGAAGCTCAACAGGTGTATGAGACCTATTATGGGGAGTGAACAAAAAATTTAAGGTATAAAGGACCTTAGCTACAACAGCAGGTATATCAGCAGTGGATATCCCTCTCCCTTCAGTCTGCTTATACAGCACAGATTTGAAGGTGAGGTGTGCTCTTTCCACAATAGCTTGACCTGTGGAATTAAAAGGAATACCATGAGATAACTTTATACCCCACAAATTGCAGAATTCAGAAAATGAATGAGAACAATATGATAGGCCATTGTCCGTTTTTATAGCCAAAGGTTTCCCCATTACAGCAAATGTCCTGATGCAATGTTGAATAACATGTCTTGACGTTTCTCCCTTCATGGGTGTTGCCCAGATAAATCCTGAATAGGTATCAACAGTCAAATGTAACTTATTGAAAGGACCCAATGATGGTACATGAGTAACATCCATCTGCCAAGTCTGGTTAGCCTGTGTCCCTCGAGGGTTCACTGCATCAAAAGGAAAGTTTATCGGTGATTTACAGCATGATGGGCAGGCAGATACAATGTCCCTTGCCTGTGACACAGGAATAGAAAACATTTTATGCAAGACTTTAGCTGACTGATGAAAAGTATGATGAGATAGGATGGGGTCATCAAACAAAGAAAAAACATTCTGTTTAAGTGCACCATCAGCTCGAGCATTTCCTTCTGCCAAAAATCCTGGGAATCCTGTATGGGACCTAATATGAGCCACATAGCAGAAATATGATCGTCCTTGGATCAATTGTTGCAGCTTGGAAAACATGCCATAAAGTTCTCTATTGATAGCAGGTGACAAATAAGACAATGGTAAATGCAGCAACAACTTATAAACGTATTGAGTATCTACAATAAGATTAAAATCTTCTTGCGCAAACAATTGAAATGCTAAAATTACAGCTGCTAGTTCAGACCGCTGTGCTGATGATTGATTTTCAGTGAACTTCGATGACCAAGAGCCATCTGGCATCTGCCAAGTAACCACTCCTCGGGTAGGGGAGCCATCTGTAAACACAGTTATTGCATGTGACAGTGGCTGTAAAGAAAAGCAAGATGTTAGTTTATAGGAAATCTGCGAAAATAGCTGCAAACATTTATCTTTTGGTGGATTATGGAGGACTGTTCCTAAGAATCCAGCAAACGCAACTTGAAATTCAGGAGATGTTACCAGCAGTCGCTCAGACTCCTCCTGCTTAAAAGGAAAAAACACACAGTCAATATCTTTACCAGTAAGTTGTAATGCTCTATGCCTTGCTTTAAAAAATAAATCTGCCACTGCAGTTATGCAAGGAAATAAATTCCGTGGCGGTGTATGTGGCAAATACATCCATTCTATTATGCAGATTGACTCTTTATCTTTGGGCACGTAAAGAATGGCTGTTGGTAATAATGATGTTGACAACATAAAACAAGACAGTTGTGAATCCTCTTCTGGCAGCTGATCAACTGCCCGAACACGAAGCCTTTGAGCAAGTAGTCTAAAAGCAGCTTTCATCTCTGGAGTGACAGGGATTTTATCTGCTGGAGATGAATGACCTGCCAGAGCCAAAAACAATGGTGAAAGGTCATCAGTAGTAAGGGCTAAAGATGGCCTAGCCCAGTTAATATTTCCCAGCAAACTTTGGAGCTGTACCAAGGTCAATGATTCTGGAATATGAAACTGCGGCAATACTGGCACTGAAGCTTTTTCCGAGAGCTGGTGTCCCAAGTATTTGAAAGGAGGGACTTCTTGGACCTTTTCTGGTGCTACATAAAGTCCATATGCTTCCAACGAAGCAACGAGAAAGTCCAGATGACATTTATCAACATTTTTCCCTGCTATCAAGATGTCATCCATGTAATGATACACCATTAAGTCTGGAAATGCTGATCGAAATGGTTGCAGGGCCAAAGCAACAAATAGCTGGCAGAGGGTGGGAGAATTTGCCATGCCTTGAGGCAAAACACACCACTCATATCTTTGTGTAGGGCGATCGTTGTTCAGCACTGCAACTGTAAATGCAAATTTTTCCCGATCTTGAGGAGCCAGTAATATATTAAAGAAACAGTCTTTCAAGTCAATAATTTTCAATTTATAATTTTGTGGGATCAAGTTTGGATTTGGCATCCCACATTGAACAGGTCCCATCACTTGCATACATTCATTCACTTTTCTTAAGTCTTGTAGTAATCGCCATTTGCCTGATTTCTTTTTTATCGCAAAAATTGGTGTGTTCCATGGGCTGGAACTAGGCTGAATATGACCCAACTGAAGTTGCTCCTGAATAAGGGCCTCCACCGCCTGGAGCTTTTGTAAAGGCAGCGGCCACTGGTCTGCCCATACTGGCGCAGTTGTTTTCCATTTGATGGGCAATGCATGCAGTGGTGCTGAGGGGGAGGCCCTTAGGATAAATTTGTACTGATGGTAGCTCCTAAGGAAGAAAGTAAATCTCTGCCCCATAAGGTAAATGGGATGTCCATTATTAAAGGTCATAAAGTCACGATGCGGCCTTCAGATTGGAAGGTAATTTGCTGCACACTTCGGGAAGCAGCTGTAAAGCCTCCCACTCCATAAACAGGAGATGCAGGGACAGTAGGGAACTTTTCAGGCCAGTCCTTTTTTGCTATAACAGTCACATCTGCCCCTGAATCCAGCATCCCTTTTATACAGCGTCCTGCCATGGTGACAGATAAATAAGGCTTGTCTGTTGTCAATCGGATAGTAGCCAAAGCAATGGGTGTAGTTTGCAAATTACTTGGCATAGGCTGGCAAGACTGCTGAGAGTCCCTTTCGCTTGACAAAGGTATTAAGAGCATACGAGCTACAAGTGATTCTGCCAGAACTTCCATATGCATAGTGGACCAGAGATGCAGCACAATGTCTGTTGAGCCAGACGACTCATATAATCCTGGAACCGTATGCCAATGATCCGGGCCCATGATTGGGAGCCATAAGCCAATATAACCTGCTGGTACCGGGTGGGATACTCGAGCAGGTACAGGCACTGCAAATCCCGGAGTGAGCATAACCGATGAGGTAAGAACAACAGGTAGTCCAGAACAACCTGGGTTGTGCTCACGTGGCTTATGTGGCTTCTCATCATCCCCTATAGTATAAAGGCGAGGATTTGACAAGCTGCAATACTGCCATTCCCCACCAGGGGGCAGCTCAGGGAATGAGTTCTCCTGCAGTTCCCCTATTATTTTCTCCGGGCCTGGGGCTGGCCCTCCCTCTCGTTTCCCTGGCGACTGTCGGAGCCTTGTTGTCCCGCCTGGGGGCGTGAGCGACACTGATTGGCCCAATGGAAACCCTTCTGGCAGATAGGGCATTTTTTCGAAGGACGGGCCGCGCTTTTTTGAACAGAACGGCATTGTGCTCTGAAATGGCCTTCTTTGCCACACCCAAAATATTTCTTTCCAGCAGCAGGATTATTAGACTGTTGAAATGTCTGGACTGCAGCTGCGAGCAAACGTGCCTTATGGGTTTGCGATCCAATATTCTGGCACACCCGAAGCATAGATTGTATATCAGTCTCTGGATTATTATAAATGGGTGTGAGGGCCGTCTTACAGTCCTCATTTGCATTTTCATACGCTAGCTGCTTGAGTAACAATTTTCGGGCCTTGGGACTGTCAATCTGGCATTCTACAGCCCGCATCAGCCTATTGATGAACTCTGTATATGGCTCTGTAGCACCTTGTCTTATATTAGCGAAGCTGGATAAAGAATTATCTCCAGGCTCTGGGATCTTTTTCCAGGCTTTAATGACTACATTAGCCACTTGAGTTAGGTTGAATTTTTTTTTTTTTTTTTTTAGGTTGAAATTTTTTATTTAAATAAAAACGTACTACAAAAGTTACAAAAGGCACAAATTGCAATATTACAAAAGTGGAAAAATACCTCATCCAATATTTACATGGTATCAAAATGCCAAATGTACACACATTTACAGGATTCCCAAGCTTTACATATCAAATTTACTTGGTCTGTTAATGCAACTTGTTGCACGGCCGTTGCAAAGGCTCCCTCTCCTAGCACCATATCCTCCGTGATATTGATATTATGTATTGCATTTTGCACTGCTTGTGCAGCTGCCCCTTGCCGCCAAGCCTCCATACAAAGAAGACCTTGGGCAGGGGGGAGGAGAGAGCGGAGAATCATTTTCCAATCCGTGGGCGTTAGCCTCTGGAGAGACATGCCTTCCAGCAAAGCTCTAGTATATGGAGCTTGTATGCCATTATCCCGAATTGATCGCTGTAACTCTTTTAACGTCTGTAACGGAAGAGGTTCGTATCTATCTGGGACAGCTTGCATGCCTCTTCCCCCGGGGGCCCCTCTGAGCACGGGAAACGCTGCTGGAATCTCTTGCGATCCTGGATCCCCTTCCTCCATAATTGCTGTTTGCAAGGCAGCGGCTAAAGCAGCTGTGCGCTGCATCGCAGAAGCCAGGGTTAAGATTGGATCCTCATTATCTGATCCCAATTCGTCAGGCGGTTTTGATGGCGGAAGATGGCGGTGCTCCTCATATTGAGGAGGAGGAGGGGCTCTAGGAATCGGGACTGGCGTGGGGGGTAAAATTTGCAGCAAGGGTGCAGGTAGAGCGGTCCCAGCTTCCAGTTGTTGATTGAATAATATATTAGTCGGCGTTAGTCCTTTTAGACAAGCCCGGACTTTACACCACGTAAATAAAATCCTGGAAGTTACTCGGGGGTGATCCTGAAAACAGGTCCCAATTTTACACCAATCTTCAAGTTTCAACGTGCCAGACTCGGGCACCCAGGGACAAACATCATCAATTGCTTTAATTAATTCTTCGACCTCCCTTTCAGTGACAGAATGTCCCTCTTTAGTAAGTAAAAAATGGAGGTCTTTTTTAAACGCCTGTTGCTCGGCAGACAATGAGGAGCCCATTTCTATGGCACTCTAACTTGATCAGTCACATTCACAGGGGATCCGAAGATGCGTGGTGCCTGCAGCCCGTGCCGGGCGTGAGGAGGTGACGATCGCGGGAACCACCAGCTAGCAGCCGAGGGTTGAAATCGAGGCAAACCGCTTGCCTCACAAAGTTGCCTCACAAAGTTGCCTCATAAAAATTCTTCATAAAAGTGCCTCACACGGGGCATCACCTGACGCGAGTTGGCCGGCCAGCCAGTCAACCTCGACAGACGGCGCGAGAAAGTTTTTTAAGTAACAGAAAACACTACAGACAGAAG